GTATCGATTGGACACTAATTCAAGATTTCGTTGATTTGCATAAAAAGTTTGCCAATACTTTGCCTTCAAATTCATTGAATGAGTCATTTGTGGCGACAATTGTCTCCAATTATTTCTCGGACTCTCTTTCGGACACAAAATTGCCAAAAGTGTGTGAAAACACATCCAAAGAGTCGGCAAAGACTAAAAGCAAACGAAAACTGTTTTTATATATTTTGGGCGGAATTTCTTACAATGACTTCATTTCTATTCCCAAAGAACACCAAAAAGATGTTATATTTTGCTCAAACGGTTTGATTACTCCCAAAACGACAATCAATTCACTTATTTACCAATAAATGCATTCAATACTCATTATAATTAAAGTTAAACATACCTTTGGTTCAATACAATCAAACAAATTGACTGTAATTGAAAACAAAACAAACATTAAATTTAATTTTAAGGCAAACATTATTATTATTAATCAAATAAATTTAAATAACATTTTAATGAAATACAGTATTTGCATGGATTTAGTACAAAGTGAAAGTCAAATAATGGAATAAATAGTAGACAAAGAGTTTCATATTAAGTATCAAACATAATATCAAATTAAATATTAATTTTCAGTTCATTTAATCAACTTTTGAATTATAAAAATAATTCATTACAAGTTTTGTACAATTTTATTTATATATTTTGGGCGGAATTTCTTACAATGACTTCATTTCTATTCCCAAAGAACACCAAAAAGATGTCATTTTTTGCTCAAACGGTTTGATTACTCCCAAAACGACAATCAATTCAGTTATTTACGAATAAATGCATTAAAAACTGATTATAAGTAAAGTTAAACAAACCTTTGGTTCAATACAATCAAACAAATTTGCTGTAATTGAAAACAAAACAAACATCAAATTTAATTTTAAGGCAAACATTATTATTATTAATCAAATAAATTTAAATAACATTTTAATGAAATACAGTATTTGCATGAATTTAGTACAAAGTGAAAGTCAAATAATGAAATAAATAGTAGACAAAGAGTTTCATATTAAGTATCAAACATAATATCAAATTAAATATTAATTTTCAGTTCATTTAATCAACTTTTGAATTATAAAAATAATTCATTACAAGTTTTGTACAATTTTGTTATATAAATATAAAAATCTTTAGAAATATTATTTTTTATCACAAATTGTTATCTAATTATTTGTGAGTTATTGAGAGTAATCGAAGATCACATTAAAATCAAATATTAATTAAAAAGTTTTAAATACTTATCACTAAATATTGATAAGAAATCCTATATTTGGTTAAACATAATCTCAGTTGAGAGGTATGTGTGGGAAACGCATAAACGATCACAATTAGCGTTCAATCTTAAAGTCAACATTAAATCGTGTCATATAAATGGCAAATAATTAAAAAAAATAACTATAAAATGTAAAAAGCATTACAATTTGAATAATAAAATATTAAAAAACATTTGAACAAAACGTCGAGATTTTAGCTATAATTATACGGAATAATAAACAATAATTAACTTCAATACTAATTAGTTTGAAAGCATTGGCGGAGACTTTGGTAATCGGGTTTCTCATTGAATTCATAACCACTGATGAGATCAAAGTATTTGCAGAAGTTTTGAGGCAAACCTGGAAAACAAAAAACGCATTTAAAACACATTCAAAGTGTGGACAAAGTTGAGTGAAATACCGGCGCAGAGGTCGGCCAGTGGTGTCTCTTTCATACGTTTGCCAATTTTGCGGATAGTCTTCGGCGACGACAGGTTCTTATCGGAGGCACTCATCCACGGCAGCGATCCTTTGGCCATAAATATCATACAATAGCCCAACGACTCCATATCGTCGCGACGCGAGGGACAGAAACCCGAGTGATAGCCAATCGAGTGAAAGTTGGGGTCGCCGTACGGCAGGAATCGGTAATTAGATGTGTCCTCAATGTGCTCAACGGTGCCGTCAAGTCTTTTTGTGATAAACTCTTTGGCGTCACTCAATCCAATCAGTCTTAGAGTCCATTTGGTCTCACTTTCGATCACAAAGTTTTCGGGTCTTAACGAGCCGTGAATGAAACCCATTGAGTGAATGTCTTCAATGCAGTCAATCATTTGGACGGCGACCGCGAACTGACTCTCAATCGGTTCCATCACTCTTCTAATGGATCTCTTCATTAGAGACAACAGATTTGGTCCAAACTTCTCGAAGACTATTAAACCCCAACGGATGCCGTAGTGTTGGTTCTGCCAGTCTTTCCACCTGTCAATGGATCACACAATTAGTTAATTAGTCAAACAAATCATGCGTTAAATCAAACCAAATGTAGTCTAAGTAATGGCCAACACTTCGACAGCCCTTCACTTTGCGAGAGTTGTGGAGCTCTTGTCTCAGATCATCGAAACCCCTCTCAATGGCCACCTTTACTATCACTTCAGACCCGTTGGACTGCTCACCACTTTTGGCCACTTTGTAGCCGACAAACACCGTCGACCGCTTCCCGACACTCAACGACTCCTTCAGATAATAGCCGAACAGTATGTCTCCGACTCGTGGCGGGAACTTCTCGTACGGCTTCTTCACCGGCGGTTCGGCCGCCACACAGGCGGACACTTCCGGCCAATCGATCTCAACGCGACTCAAACTCATGTTAAACACCAGATTAGAGATATCCAACTCTTGACGCCTCGACTCAGACATTGTCTCCCATTCGGCGA